AAAGGGCACCATGTCAAGCGGTGCTATCCAACCCACAACAGACAAAGAAAAAAGAGGAAATATTATTCAAACCTTTAGCCTCACAAAGAAACATGGTATCTTTGCATACAAAGTACTGCAGCAATATAAAAAAGCTAGGAAGCTTTGACTACTATTGTAGAAGATCATTACATGGCATTTGTGAATTGAGTGCAATTATGCGGCGTTTAATGGTGGACATTGGCAAAAGCAAAAAATTCACATGATATGGCTCAATCTTGTTGATTATGGGAGGGCTTGCTAGGACATCAACACACTCTAAAATCAAGAAGTCCTTGGCAAGGACAACAATTTCACTAGAAAACTTCCAGCATCAATGGTATTCCAACAAGCTTGTTGCAACATGGGACACGGCACTTCCTAAGTGGAAACTAGTCAGCCCTAGATTAGAGTGTTAATGCGGTCTAGGTTGTACATGTATCTTGTCCTGGCTGGGATGTTTGTATTTATTTCCTTTCACGCAGTAAAAGAACCTCTTTATTTGTGTCAAAAAAAAAAAAAAAAAAAAAAAAAAAAAAACTGATGCTGCTATTTTTTGTTAATTTTAATGCTGGTGTTGATGTTGCTGCGACCACTTTCGGTGCGCCATTATGTAGTTTTTTACAGGGACGTTGAGGAGATGGATTCTGCCAGGAAGTTGAGCTTCCGACATTCACTTCACGTCTTGATGGGGATGGGTAGATCGTTCGAGCCATTGTTATGAATTGAAGTGAAGGGGGTTCCATGTTGCGGCGAGTTATGAATCGGCGATGAATTGGAAGGGCTTTGTGCGGTTCCTGAATGGACTCAGGTGATGCATCACATCGGTGGAATTACTGACCCCCTTTGTTTGTTTTTGTTTAATGGTGTTTCTGTTGATTTTATTTATTTTATATGCCCCCTTTTTTTTTTCTTTTTTTCGGCCATGAACGATTACTCCCATATTGCGACGTCGGAGGTTCATTGAAAGCCCTTCAGCTTCCGTGACGCCATGCTCAAAAGCCATCACCAGTCGCATACAATTCATGAAAGTGCTCCGGGGGTGCATTGAGGGCATGGAATCAAGTGAGAGAGCCCTTAACCCTCGACGGTTGGGTGGATTCCGCCACCTCCTCCTCCTCCTTGGCAGCACATCGGCGCAGCTCGCGTACTGCACTTACGGCAACCGGGAATGAAACTGGGAATTCAACGACATGTTGAGAATCGTCATCGATGCATGCAAGACGGAACAATGTGATTCAAATCGGGCTGAATGCCGTCCATCCCGATACAACTTCGATCTCTCACTACATTCGCCCTCTGCTTTCGCAAAGTCGACCCAATTCTCAGAAAAAGTGTCCATAATGTAACGAATCCAATGGAAGAACAAACTCGTTTTGGGTGGTGATCGTGATTGTGGGCTCAGATTTGCGTTCTGCTTCAGGGTCAGAAAATCGACCTATCCACGAATCCTCACCCGTTGAAGCTCGTGATGCTCGAATTTGGATGAAGGACATCCTATTCGCTCAAATGAATAATAGTTTTCCGGATGACTGTTTTGGATAGACTTCGGGGTTGGGTAGGAATGTGTGGGTTCAGTTGGTATAGTCCCCCCCCCATTTCAAATGAGTTCGATAAATAAATTAAAATATGCCTATGAAGATTTCTCATTTTAATTATTTTTTCAAAAAAATCAATAATCATCATCATATATAAATATGCATATTTCTTGTATCAAAAGAAAAATTCAAAACTTCTAGTAGTGATCAAAATTAATAAATAAATATACAAACTTCAATTTAGATAAATTTAGATTTGATTTCTTCTAGTATTTTTCATATATATATATATATATATATATTTGTATATATACATCATTTTTTTAAAAGAAAAATAATTGGGCAATGCCTGTTTCTTGATTTATTTCTTAGTTTTTCTTCAGAATCAAGACCGTTTAATATGTGCAGCAATAATTGCAGATTAAATCGATTAAATTTAGATGGTAAAATTCTCCAAATACAAATATTTTGATAACTAAACATCTTAAAACTTCAATAATAGATGAAATGAATTAAGCAACAATTCGTTATTATACACATCTGAGCTAAATCTAAAGTTGTTTCTACTCAATATTAGGTTTCATGCCATTGCATTTTTCATGGCTTTTGTGTAGAATTGTTAAAACATTTACTGTAAGTAGTTTCATCATAAATTATTTATTTACATAAATACAGTTATATATTTGTACTTATATATTTCTACATACATAATTATTTTTTTTCGAATGAATCTTGTAATTTTCAAAATGATTTATGATTTAATTTCAGATATTGAAACAGTGAATAAAAAGTCACGTTACATTAATTACAGAAGAAATCATGAAAAATACATACACAATTTCAATAAATGAGTTAAAATAGTAATTTTAAATATCATTTAGATGACACACAGAAAATAAGTAATGATTTAACAATTAAAAAAAATATGAAAAGCCTATTTGGGGTGATGCATGTGTGAAATCGAAGTTTAAAATGAAAACACTTGAAACATTTCCATGAATATTATTATTAATTTTATTTTATTTTTTTAAAAAAAAACGTAAATCATAAAGAAAGTCTATGAAGCTCTACTGACAAACACTCTTTGAAATTATTTCCATAAATACGTTTATTCTGATTTGAGTTCATATTTTAATCCTCAAATCAATTTCTTGTGTGATTTGACTGTACAAACAGAAAAGTTTTAAGCATTCACTTTCTTCTTGATTGACATTATATTTTTTAGAATATAATACTTAATTTTAAAGCAGTAAAAAGGTTTTTGGAATACTAAAAATTTGGATATTCAATATAATCTTTATATCTCTAAAATATGTGGATGTTTAATATTTTATTACTAAAAATATTTTTATTATTTTTCTTAGAAATTTATCATCGTCACTTGCTTTTTCAAGATTCTTGAATTTATTTAATTTTCAAAAAGAAAATTTAAATATATTTCAAATAACTCACTACGTAATGTTATTTGTTAGTGAAAATATAGAGTTCTATTTATTGGTAAATTCCAGCTTTTGAAAGCTAGAATAGCCTGTTGTTCTCCTAGTGAAATCATTTACATAATATTATTGTGATGGTGCAGTTGAAATTCTAAGTGTGACATTTGATCTCTTGGTATAATCATCAAACATCATTCAGTAAATATTGTTTAAAATTTTTAATATAAAAAAATCAATCATGTTTTAAATTGTAACTTCACGTATTTAAAAAATTATATATTAAATAGTGAATCCAGTTGTAAAAATAAATAAATAAAATAAAATAAAATAAAAAATGACCGCTACACAAGCACGAGCTTAATCTGAAAAAGCATTAAGCTAACTAGCATTACAAAGTTGGATTCATTTGGCAGACTAGACACATCACAACTCATAATTAAAAATACACAATTCATATCATAAACCTCCATAAATAAATCTATACCATGTAATATAGTCCTCACAAACAATTAATTTTACCCAGTCAAAAGTCAAGTTAAAGTTATACATACATAATGTGTTTGAAGCTTTTTGCATCCTCTAACATCATTTTCATCTCAACTCCAGTGCTCATTATGGAACGTATACCTCATGCAAGTTGAAACCCAAAAAACAAAAATGAAAAACAGACGCATGATACGAGAGTGGAAATCAATTACATATATATATGTCAACAAGTAGACATCAAATGGATGGAGCCAAATCCTTCACAGCCACACACAAACTGCAACTAGTTTTGGCTACAGACAAAGCACTTGCAAGTGTGTAGAATCACTCAAAATCCACCTCTGGCTGTTTTACTCCAGCATCCACCCAATGCACCTCTTCGGCAGCAATTCATCAAGCACACACACAACTGCCAAATTCCTCCGAAGCATGATGTGGACAATCCACACAAGCAATGCTCCTGGAGAGCACAAAACCATGGGTGCAGATCCGCTTTCTCATTTCACCACCCTCTCAGACAATTCCTCACTCAGGAGAGTGAATTATACTTAAGTGCTGATGTGGGGTAGATTATTCAATCTCGGTTTCGTCATCTGGTTTCCAGCTCTCACTGCACCATCAAAAAACTGGCAGTAATGCCGTGAATAAGAAGAATGTTGAAGGTCGAGGGTGGCGAGTCGCATGTAGCATGTCTAGAACGAGGCTGTGGGTACCGCTATTTTGGGGAAGGACAGTCAGTGGAGAGAGAGAGGGACAAGTGAACGGTAGAAGGGAGGGGGAAGCAAAGAGATCATAGCCATTGCAAGCATGACGCTGGGATGAGTTCTTCCCATGAAGAAGAGAAAGAGGCGATGGGGATTACAACGTCTACGCTGAGCGGTCATTGACTATGCGTGAGGGGAATATGTGGAACCCATCGTTGTCGATGATTTTGAGTTTCGACTTCCCCCAGGTACGCGATGGTAACCCCGGTGCTGACATGAGACTCAGCTAGAACCTCACAGGGTCACGTCCCACCCCCCAACGCTACCAAAGCCCCTTCAACCACCTTTGCTGTACAGATGTTTGTGGTTGCACATGCCATGTCCTCACATCTTTACTGCCTACATTACTACTTCCTGTCATCAGACTGTCTGTGCTCATCACCTGTGTCACTAGCCTCCAGGGTGTAGCCATCCAAGCCATATCCATTTCTCACTGGAATGGCTAAGGCATGCCGTAGCATCAACAGGGATATAAAATAATAATAATAATAATAATAATTAAAGAAAAGATTATTACTATTTCAAACAAACAAACGAACAAACAAATGTATGCCGCTGCTGTTCATCCTGTGCTAGACATTGAAGCAAGGGCAGCGTTGAGCAAAATACCTACTCGTCAATTTTGTTGAAAGCAAAGAGAGAATCGACGTGTAAAGCCCTGAAGTGTGAACAATTTAGAAATTGAGCAATGTGGATATACCGCAAGTTGTTTGGTAATCTAGCCTGGAAGACACGCAAAAAGGAGAGCGAACCGAAGGTTAATGGTGAAAGTAACTTGTGTGTGTGGGCATGTACTTCACGGGAAGGCAAGTAGGCGAAAATAACGTCATATACAAACCATGTTCGGGAACCATGGGAAATAGTGGCAATCTGAATCAATCCTAACCGAGCTGACGAAAGGGTTGAGCACACTTGTGATCAGTTGTATTGTCTGGCTTAAATAGCCAAGCCTAAAAGAATATCTCTAGAATTAAATTCTCTAAAAGCGATTTTGTCACGGAAGCTGAGAGACTCCAATTATCTGTAACACCTATACTGACCATTCTGGTCGATGCTGTATAATCTAACGCAGGAACACAAACTACACAATCCTGTAAGAGTACTAATATACAAGTTTCGGAAACTTGCGGGACTTGAGGCTGTCGAGAGCTAGCCACCGGAGTGTCCGCGAGTCTCCGAGATAAGTGAGCGGAGACTGCAAAGACTTCATTGCAGTAGGCTCGACCTGGACTGATAACACCGCCAAAGAGTCGGCGAGGAAGCAGCGACTGCGAAGAGCTCTTTCATCTCCCGAGAAAATCCAATTCTACTCCTTTTCTCGCTCTGGACTGGGGGAACTTAACCGTCTTCGCATGATCTGACATGATACCTGGAATCAGCTGTTGATTTCGATGGGCGATCACTAACTGGCTGTTAAACGAAATCCGGTATCAGAGAAGACTGATTCTGAGTGTCTTGAAGCAAAAGATGTGGAACTCAAGCGGTGCACCAGCTCCAAGTAGGACTGTCGAGGGTCATCCGTTGCTTCTTGGGCAAAGAGGGGTAAATGATAGAGGGAAGCTCAAGGAGCACGTCAGCGTTCCCGCATTTTGGGCAGCTGGGGTGCGACTTGGAGAGCATCACGTACATGAGGCAGCTCTTGCATCCAACCGTTACCATCACTTCTCCATTCTCGGGGACTTGGTGCTTTCGGGATGAAGCCTGCTGGCTCGTGACGTTTGAGTCGCCGCAAGTGCGCGGTTGTTGCACCTCTTCGTCATCACCTGAAATCAACACCATGAATCGATGGACTTATTTTAGAATCATTTCAAGTGTCGCCAATTGCGCAAACCAATGGTCAAACCCATCTAATTACTAACGCGAGGGGGAATCCGGTCTGTGAGGAGAAAGTACCTTGATAGCTCATGGCGGAGGGCGATGTGAATCCCTCTGAGGAGCACTGCGAAGTAGATTGCGACGAAGACTTGGAACTTGTGGAGTACGGTGGTCCGAATGAATTGGACTCTCGAGAGGTCGAGGCCTGTGAAGACAAGAGTGACAGTGCCGTGGACAGAGTGTCTGAGAGCTTGTGTCCGGAGCTGCAAGCTGGCCTCTTCTTTGGCAGCTGCGCAGCACTCAACCACTGCGACCTCTCGAGCGCGCTGCGCACCTTCTCCACGGTGCACACGCTATCCTCTTGGTTGGAAGGTGTGGGCCTGGAAGTGGTCCCCGGCAGATTGAGCGTCAATTCCAAAGACTGGTCATTTACTTCGTCCATGCTCAGTGAAGTAGTCTCGCGATCTGATGAATCACCCTGACTCGTTATCTGCGCCGTAGAGAGCCCCCAGGAGAGCCTCGCCGGCTGTCCGCTTAGGTCGGTTTTCGCAATCCCCTTGAACCTCTTTCCAAAGCCTTCGCCAGCATTGCTAGATAATTTCGCGTCGGTGATGTCGTCGGGCAAGAGAGAGATAGACAACAGTCCGATGCGCTGCACGGGAGGTGGAACCGCCTGGCGTGGGTCTCTGTAGGTCAGCGTCGATGAATTCCAATCCCTGAAGTAGATGAGACCAGACTGCAATGAATCCACACCGACCAAAAAACAATCAGAAAACTTGCGCACACCTCATAATTCACTCACACTCGATCCCCCGCTACTGTGCCATTCGGATACTAGAAAATTAGTCCACCGTTCAAGCTCGCACAACAATCCACTCATCTATTCCAGGAGAAAAGTAAAAGAAGAGGAAAAACTTCTACACTTCCACCTACACACAATCGCCCGAAAAATATTCCAAGAACTAGTAATAAGATCCTTCGTGTGCACCTTCAAGTCAAGGCATTTTTCCCAACCACTGGGGAGCTGCGGCTCCGGCTGGAGCTCCCCGCAGACATAATTGTCCCGCTTCTGTTCCATCAAGGGCACCTCCTGAGCTCTTTCACGCACCATGATACCCATGTCACTCAATGCAACAAACCACCAATTCTTCCCAACAATCTCTCAATCCTTCTTCTAGTTTCCAAATCAGCTTTTCTTCCCCCACCTCTCTCGCTCTCTCTCCCCCACGACCTCACCCTTCAGAGCTGCTATTGAGCGCTAGCACCACAACGCACTGCGACTAGACCGCGACCTCTTTCGGTACAACACCAACACTACATCCCATATGCTTCAACTTCATCAACACGCCCCCGATTGCCTCCCTTTGAAGTGATTGGCCCTTCGCTTGATCCTGTCGCAGTGACAATCAGGCCGCCATGCGCTCTTTTAAGGTCCACCCAATCTACTAGTCCCGCAGATCAGGTCCCTGCCTTCGGCGCCGGATCTACGGAGCTGTTGCAACGTGAAGGACAAGAGGTCTGATTCCTGTGAAGGGTGGGTGGGTGGATGGAGGAGCAGGGCGTCGCGGGCGATGTCAAGAATGGAGTCGCAGTCAACAGGTGATGTCGTCCTTTATGCAACCATTTCTTTTTGCCTCTCGCTCTCCCTCCTTCCCTCATTCCCTCGCTAGTGTAGGATGCTACTCTACTGTAGAGCGGCACCTACAGTTGAGGGTCTACAGTTATTCAGGGTAGTGTAGACACTAGACTGACTAGGGGTCTTCCAAGGTCACCACCTAACGTACACGAGTACGGCTCCTGCTTCGTCGTGGTTTCGACAGACGGCGTGGTAAGCATTGTCTTTTTACTGATTCACGGCGGCAGTCATTTGCATCGCTGCACTTCCCATACCTCATGACCACCCTCTGCGATGATTCCACCCACTCCGGACAGAATCTGGGCTACGAGGTGAGCAGCCGCAGCTTGCTGGAAAGGGGAAGCTGCCGGAATAAAGCCAGGATCTCTATCGAAGATCCATGCTAAATGCGCCGTAAATACTTGTTTTGCCTTGTCTTGCCTTGCCTTTTCCAATCGTGGTGAAAGCCTTGTGTTTGTTGATGGACCGAGTGCAACAGAAACCATAAAAACAATCGTAAGGGAAGGAAAGGCAAGACTGTCTGTCTGACTGACTCCGCAAGCTCGAAGTAGATCAAAGCAAAAGAAAGCGCGACACCCAACGAGGTATCCTCTGTGTCTTTTCTCAAAGGATTTGGCTTCGTGTTGCCAATTGTTTTGTGCGGATGCCGTTTCTCATGAGATTAAGTTGAAGGTGTGTTGTTTATGAATATTTTTGTTCTTTCTTTTCTTTTTTCTGTTGGTGTATGCTTTATAACTTTACTTGAGTTGGAGTGTTGTTCCAGAATTAAGAGTATGATGTATGGAGTAAAGTAGGTGCTGTGATGTGTTTAGTACTTTTGATTTTGAGTGAATCCTGAAGTTGCATTTTCACCCAAACGTGATTACCAAATATGCATGTGTGAAAGAAGTATGAATATTGCATCATGAAAATATCAACATTTTAAAAAGAGTTATTCATGTATTTATTCATTCATATAAAAGCATTGTATGAGTGTCTTATGGTGATTATCTATAAAATATTATAAATGAGATATTATGTTATTGTTTCAAAGAAAGTTCTTCTTGTACTTATAAGATTTATCTTTCACCCTGACATAAGTTGTCTCATTGAAATCCAACCAATTACATGTGTGCTGATTCATTTTATGCAACTATGTGCCAATTCAAATATTCCTTAAAAGCCAAGCTGGAACCACTCCAAAACAATGAGTGGTTGGACCAATGACTTTACAAAATACCATCAGAATTGTTATCACAATTGGATCATATACCAATTTGCTTGAGGTAAACATGTTTGTAGAGAGTAGTCATTGTTGATCCAATTAAGTGCCAAGTAAAACGTAATACTCTTTTTAAGAGATACAGAGCACTTTCTCCCGAAAGAATGTTAGTAATTTTTCTTTATTTTAGTCTCACTGACATCTTTTTGATAAAAGAATGATTTGTGAACCTCATGTGTCTCATTGGAAATTCATGAATGCTTTAAGAAGTGACTCACTGCTTTGTAATCAACACGTGCAAATCTACCCTGGGATTTTACAATGGTCTAAAATACAACTTGGATTTCATTTGGTTCCAAACAACTTATGTTCAACTGAATATACTTTTATTTAAACGTTTTGGGCTTTTAAACTTTGATGCATAATTGAATTACAACAAATACATCTTTTAAACTTTTCTTTTCTTTATATTCTTTTTTTTTTGGGAAAATTGAATGCGAAAAAACATTTCTAATGTTCTATTTCCAAAAATGTATATCTCATTTGTATGTAAGAATGCAGCTAAATAATGAATTTCAAGGTATCGGAATTCAGTAACAAAATGACCAATGTCTAACTTCTTCACAAGAACAAATGGCACCTATAGTTGTCTTCCACAAAACTTTCATAATTAAGAATTCAAAGACAGAATATAATAGTACTCTCTTCACTGTTGTTATTTTCCTTTTACTTATATTATTTTCTATACTGTTGTTTTCGTATCAATTCATTCCATGATTCTCAGCAAAGGGGCTGAAGAATGCTGCTGAGAGTCATGGAATGAAATGAATGGGACATTCAAATAATAATAAAAACATATAATAAAATAAATTTGGGGCTGCCAATCATTTCCTTCCATTCCCCCGAGTTGCCACCAGCCAATGGAATTCTGGAAATTCCCTCTGCTAACCCTAATTATCCAGTTTCAGGGATCTAAAAACTTTTTGTGTTGCGAAGGCAGAGCCCACAAATTAGATTAGGTCCTTACAGCCTTCACGTGTCTGAAACTGTATAGGAACAAAACCAATGTCAAAAAAGACAGTGAATAAAATTGTTGTATGTAAAAAACTGTATTTCATCAAACATACATTACTGATGTTGACATATGACTATACATGAAAAATAAAACTGAAGCTACTGAAATAAACAAAATAAAATAAATTTACTTGTATTGAATAGGTGGAGCAACATGCAGTCCAAGATAATCTTTGTTTGTTTGATGTTAACATTTTTCATATTGTAAAAATAGTCTTGTACCATTTTTGAAGAATTCTGACTTAAAATTAAATATTACACCCACTCTTGAAATTGCGATGATGATATGTTGGTAAATATTACAAATAAATTCAACACAAGTTTTTATGAATATGGTTACTTGTTTGAAAATAAAATTACATTTATTCGCATACACTCACGTTGGATACCATTATGGTACCCATCACAGTATCAATTTCGGGTTCTTTACCTTTAATTTTGTAAACATTGTCCAATCCTCTTGTTTCACAAAAATTAGAAAAAATATTGTAACATCTCTTGTAACTTAACTCTATCAATCCAATAGGGTTTCAGCTCCATCACAACATTTCGCACAACGCTCAAAGAACAGAACAAAATGAACAAACTTACGCAAACACAATTCGGTGGCACCAACAACAACATGGGTAAAGAAAAAGGTGGTAAAAACTCTTAATTCAACCCCTAACTGTAATCCTAACCCTAACCTACTTCGTAGGCTTTAGGAGTGTAGGATTAAATGAGGGGAATCGAGAGCAGCACGCAGTTGTCGTGGCTTGTTCTCGTCGTCGTCTTCGTCGTCGTGCTCGTCGGCGTCTATTTTGGGATAAAGAATTTCGACGAGAAGGAGTGGCCAAGTGGGAGATGAGCAGTGGGGCCTCCGACCATGAATTCTCGTCGAAGCAAACCCAACTGGAGCTCCATTGCAGATTGAAGCACCCCAAGTGAGCAAAAGAGAGAGAGCACAGCAGCAGCGTTGCTGTAGTGCGATTCAAACAAGGCTGGAAGCACAGAGCGCGCGCAACCGGTTTATAGTGATTGCATTACCCACAAGACTCACAGTAGCTTTCACAACAGCAGGAGTCGCCGAGCAGCCCAGAAAAGAGGTCAACCATTCCGTAAATCTCCAGACGGTAAATAGTTCGGGGGTCGGAATGTATTCTGAGGTACCTGCCAGAGAAGCCTTGGCAATCATACACCCCTCTAGCTTGCCCTCCGCCAAATATGAAGCACGTCAAGCTTGCCCCCACGTAGTGATTCAATTAAGTGCGCATGCTAAAAATCCTTGGCACGAATCCTCTCTAGCCTGGCGGGTTCACAAATAGTGGGAGCGGCCATTGGCAGCGGGGAATCGTAGGAATGTTGTGTTGGGGGAATATAGCGGGCTTTGAAGAGATCTGGCTATAGACAGAGGCTATCTCCGATATGGACGGCGTGTGGCAGCGAGGCTGTTGGTTAACCTTGGCAGGCGCGGCACTGAGCTCGGCAACTAGTTTCCCGTCAGCCAACCGAGTAGGGGTTCTAGAGCACTCACTGCCCTGAGCGCTTAGTTTAGCAATAACCTGCGGAGATGTCGTCAGGAGCTCGTCCGCAGTGGCGGGCACGTTGGCCAGGGATCGCTGGTACAAACCGGAGCAGATGGGATCCCAGAACGCATCTACCCAGCCTGGACATCGCAAACCAACGGATTGCGTCGCGAATTGAGAGGATCATCATGCGTGGAGGCGATGAGGAACGCATCATCTGTCACTGATTGCGGCCTTCGTGCGGGTTGTCTGCTGCCTGACACGCATAGGGCCCTCCCTTCGCCATCTATATCATGGCAGTTGTGGTATCGAGCTATATTTAGGACCGGGGATCGATTATTCCACGGTTTGAAGGAGATATACTGCCTCGCCTCCGTCGCGACTCGTCACAAACTGCAACTTCCCATCAGTTTGAATTGCTTCCACCTGTGCATCTTGCCAGCGAGAAAAAGCATTCGGAGGTGACAAAGCGAAGCTTGTGCACCATGACGAGAGCCCACCTCATGACTCTATCAGGTGATCCGCTAGTAGATGCAACGACTGTGGGCGACTGTTATCATTCCCGTGGATGTTGGAACTGTACACATGAGAGAGGGCGCTGTGAAGCAGGCAATCGACAATATGATGCTGATGATTTCCACTGTCTGGATCAAGCACGCGTGCATTCGACGTGAGGAATTGGCCACGGATGGATGGGATCCCAGTTCATCACCGGGGCCAGCCCACGCCCTCCCTTGCAAGTTTCTCTGCCTTGTGTCTTGCTTCTCTGTGTGTGTTTTTGTGTGTGTGTGTGTGTTTTTTTTTTAAAGGTTGAACTGAGGAGCTGTTGCTGTGCTGTGGACTCATCCCGTGGCCTTACTTGCTTCTATTTGTTCCCTTCATTCCAATAATTCTTGGAACTCGTCCATTTTTTGAGATTCTACATCAACAGTATGTTGTTTCCAATTTCGTGTAATTTCAATTTCATGTCAATTATGTAATTATAACAGGAAAGTCCAACCAAAATAGATACAGTTATAATAAGAATAAAATAAAATAAAAAAATATTAAATTTAAACATCTCAATCAATTTTAATAAGATTTTAGATATTATTTTACTTTGAGAACTTTTTTTTATCTAAACGTGTTTGCATTTTTACTACATAATTCTAGGGAGGGAAAACGATAGAAGAATAAGAAGAGATTATCCTAGTTTGCTGTTTTTAAAATGTGGTAGAAGCATTTTAGCATGATGTATTCAATCTTAAGTATTTATGATACATAAACGATATAAATAATGTAAATAGATTTTAATTAGAAGATTTTGATTGATTGATGCAGTCAGGAAAAAGAAAGCAAACAGGAAGTTATTGGTGGAACAATTCAGCACAAATTGAAACTTAATTTACAGCACCGAACACCACAAAACCAAACAAAAAACAAAAATATCTATATCTATATGTATATATATCATACAGGTATGCAACAATTAATTGAATTTGTCCTCTATTTATTTGGAACATTGTGGACTGCTAAATAGGGTGAGACAAGCTTAATTTGACAGTGACAGTAAAAATCTCCAACATTGTGCTCTGTAGATGTATCAACTTTATTTGATGAATTTAAAAAATAAAGAAATTTGAAAAAAAAAATCTTGTGTTGATTAATTTTCCAAGATAAGCCCAAATTTTCAACAAATGACAATATTGTTTTACTTTCTTACATTTTTTGAAGTTTCACTTTACCAATGCCATAAATCACATAATCATACAGGACACTAACAAACACTGTGTTTCTACACATAGATGGATTACAAACATACACCCAAGACATATCTGACATAGTTTTCCCAGCCACTGTTGCTTCATAATTGACAAGCTAATATTTGGCCCTTTCCTCTTGGATTAGTCAAGAGCAGGTGAGACTTTTCCAAGGATTTGATTTTGAATTCCACAGTTGTTTGAGACATGCAGTCAAGCAAACTAATCATGGCTTTTTTTAATTAAATAAAATCAAGCAAACTTGGTATTTGTTTGGTAATGTGTACATATGAATCATTCATGGAAGAACCCAACAGGACTATCTCAGTCTTCATACTCTTTAATGGAACAATGATTCATGGTACACTTGCCCAAGTCAAACCTTTTCAGTTGAGAGAGGTTGATGTGTTGAAACTGAAGCTCAACCCCCCCTTCAAGAGCCCCATTTATTAGAAGAATAATTTAGATTTGTTTCAGAAACAGCAGCATATGTTATTGTACATTTATCTAGATGTACTAAAGGAATAGTTTGTGTAATATTTTTGGTTGCAGGATGCAAACATTCATTAAAAATTCTTGTTTGAGATATGAGAGTAACAATTGTTATATTTGAAGCTGAATATAGTTTTGTTGCACTGTTCTTCTAAATGGCAAATCAGTCCTGCAAAATTTCAAATTTCACATCTATCAGATTTATATAAAATAAAATAAAATAAAATAAATAGTTATATGCCATGTAGACATGATAAAATAACCAATTTCCACACAAAGAAGATGCACATCAACACATTGATTGTTATTTCATTTGATTCTTGATTTTATGATTATAATTTGAATCTTCTAAATTTCCAATTTAAAACACTCAAAGAACCAATTCATACCTTTTCTAGTCACTGTAGTGCAATTCCTTTGGGACATTGAAAACTTGAGATACAATTTAAGGTTGAAAAAATACAAATATCATTGACTGCTTGGAGGTTGGATCTGAAAATTTCGAATATTGAGAGAGACTCTTACTGTTTCCCTCTTCAAGAAGTTTAATGCCTTTAGTAAGATTATTACTAAAAATAGTAATAATAATAATAATAATAATAATAATAGCCCTGAGTGCAGCCCACACTATCCATGTTCAAAAAACAAGAAAGAAGGAAAAAAGATGCTAATCTACCCACAAGTACTTTGTAGCACATCCATAATTTACTGTATCATTATTCTCAACTTATTTTCTCATGAGGTTGTCATTTCTCTCTGTGGCACTGCCCCAGTGAACCTCATGACCCTTTGTTTTATTCTAGCCTGAGCAAGAGGAGGTGCATGTTGGCAGCAGTTCAATAGGATTGTAGAGTATGCATATATATATATATATATATATATGCATGTTTGAATGCATTTATTTACTCTCTCCTTTTCTAGGTACCAATTCAATTCAACCATGTGGGCTTCCCTTTCGGGTGGCATAATGGGCAGTATCTCTCCAGCCCCCTTCTATGTTATGCAGATGAATACAAGCAAACAGACAGACACACAGACAGACAGACAGACAGACTGCACCCACACCCTTGTACATTTTGCTGCGGCGTTATCCACCAGAAACACCATCCCCTGGTTTAGTTTCTCTGTGTTTATATGTAGGTTGGGTATGTTGAATATGTGAGTGTGGCTGGCTGGCAACAACTTCTCAATGCTATCTCATAAGGCAAAGGCCCCACACCCCCCATCTTCAAACTCAACTTCTTTCCTCCTCAGCCTTTGTGCACCCAATACACCAAAACTTGCTTTTTAAGCAAAAGAGTTCATACTTCCCAAGAAATGGGCCCACTTTCCCTTGTTCCAAAGCCTAGCATTAAACCCCCTTCTTCTTTCATGTGTAATTTGCTTCAGAATCTGGGCCCATGCTTTCCACTTGAGACTCCCTCATTCTCTGATTGCTCAATCCCATAACTTTCCTGCACTAACACACTCACACACATACTACCCCTTTCTTCCTTCTTCTTCTTTGACATGTTGCAGTGGAGCATAATTTGCTTGGTTTCCTCAATCAGTCAACTTGCTATGAGACAACCATTCCTTCCTGAGGCTCTTGAATTCTGTACATTCCTTCTCTGATTCTTCATGGAACAAGGAACAATTTGTCATTGTTTTCCATATCCTGAATCAATCTTTGACCTTCACCTCGTGTAATGTGCACAACTGAGTTAGCACATATTTTTCAAATGTGGTTTTTTTTAAGGGCATCAGCTATCTTTTTCCTTTGGAGTTAGGTGCCATGTCAGCACCTGTAAATTTGAGAGGAGAAAAATAAAAGGGTGACATGCAAGCTATGTGCCTTTTCTAGCTCTTGAAACTTGTTCTTTGTATAATATGGACCCAGTCTGTATGACTTAGTCTGCATGTTTTCCATTGTATTCCTCAAAAGCTTTCATAGCTCCCCCCCTAATCCACAGGCTCTTGAAAAGCAAAAGGTAAGCCATGAGGCAGAATGCTATGACTAGGGCAAAAAACCAGCAAAATTGGGGAGGATGGTTTCACACTTGGAGACCTCCTCCCACACAGGCTCCATAGAAAAAAAGGATATCAAGCAAAAACCAAGACTCTCAGCAAATAGGCCACACATTGACTGCAGACAAAAAAACATGTATTTTTTTTTTTATTTCTTTTTGTTTATTTGTCTCCTTGATGAACTTGACTGATCTATTGTGTAGCCTTGACGGAGTCCACAAATTCTATCAACACCCCAATAGTTCTCCCCTCTTTACTTGCCTCTCTCTCATCTTTTGTTTTTTTTAATGTTCCATGACTTTTTCCATATCATTAGACATGTGGCAGAGTTTGTTTTGGGAGCAGGGATGACCTTGAATTCCCTTCCTCCTCTTGTTTGACCCCTCAAAGGCAATATCAATGAGTTGGCACATTGAAAGCAAAGGTCACGGGGATGGTGGGGACACTTGACTTGGGCATATAAGTGTGGCCACACCAGCAGCATTGGGTGCCCATTTGGGTCCTGATTGAAGTCAACAAGCAACAAGTCTTCATACATGATTGCCTTCTCTACAATGCACCTTCATGAGTTTTGTTTAAGACAAGCAGTCTTTCCAACAAGATAAATAAATAAATAAATAAATAAACCCACATGGCTGAGAGCTTACAGTAGGGCCTCTGACCAGTCCATTGCTCTTTGGGCTAAATGAAGATGAATAAATGAATAAATAATATGTTTGGTCCCACTCTGAGCCTTTTCCTACCCATAGTTTTTGAAGATGATTTGGTCATTTGGATCATGTTCATTCAGGCTTATCTTTTTTTCTTTTTTCATTTTTATGTGTGTGTGAGTGGAAAGATAAGTTCTTTGTAAATCATCTGTCTGCAATAATCTGAAGGTTGGGGACAAAATACAAAAATGGAACAAAGGTATATATTGACAGCTACGGCTATATTGAAAGATAGCTACTACAATTGAAATGAAACCCATTTCTCCACTCTATGGGCAGAAAGCTAGTCACAAGGTCACACATACATAACACACTAGAATTGACCTATGATTGCAGTATCAATCATATATGGATGACTTTGAATGAGGAACATGACTGGAAGAACCCTCAACAATAACAACACTGCATGTCATATCATTGAAAAGTCCCAGTCCCTCCCACTGATCACTGATCACATATGTCTGTTGTGGAAAACTTTATGCTAGTCTTTCCATGTAAATATTAATAATATTGGAATATATATATACATTTGAAAGCAGAGAAAGAAGGTGGGCAAAAGAGGTCCAGCACACTGGCACAAATATGCATACAATATATTTTTCAAAAAACAAAAGTGAGATATGGTTTAATTGGGGCCTTGAATTGTGTAAGTTTGACCCCACACACACACATACATATACATATATACTTGTTATTTTCAAACATATATACTTCCTCTCATGCCATAAACAGAACTTGCAAAATGAAAGGCTAATACCTCCTCATAGAGAATGTTAACATGTCACTTTGTTGGGTGCTTGCTGTTAGGAAACAAACTCTCTCAGAGTTACCTTTCATCTGGAACTGCTCCTCAAATTTGGCCTGAGGCTGGATTCCAATTCTGTCATTCCATGGCAGTTGGGAGGAAGTTTTTCCATGGGATGGGGGGGTGGTAACCACAGCCCTACAACTTGTCCAAACAATGCCCTAAAAATAAAGAACGCTGCCTAATGGGTTGTGTCTTAGTTTGGCAGACTGCAATTAACTATCACGCCCCCACTATTGTTCTCCCACATTCGTTTCCTTATTCAATAACCCATTAGGCAGCACCCCAGTAAGTCCCATTAAGCAATACCCCAGTAAATGAAGCAAAAAACTAAATTACACATATGCTTTGGTCTTAATTAAAATCTCTCCAGACAATGATGAAGTAGTCTGTTTGTAAACTCAATTCCTAAGAAGAAATTCCTAATCAGTTGCTTGTAATTTTGTCCAGTTTTGGGTTTTACCGATTCATGAATTTGACAAAAATTTGTTCAGAAAATCATCAAAGATTTACAGGCCACTCCGACCTCCACACAGTAAGAAAAACAACCAAAAATAAACTGTAAGTTACTTATGATAATGCACGATTTGAGGGCAAGTACTATACTGTTAAAAAGGTAGGATGAGACAGGAAAGAAAAAAAGATGTTCCCCAATGCAATGCAATGATAAGTGGGAGCTGAACTTACTTATCCTTTCTGACACCCAATCGTGCAGACTCCGATCTGCCAACAGGATGATCACTCAGGGGTGGAGAAGGGGAAGAGGAAGGGGAATGGAAGAAACGCCCTTTCTGTGGACGGTCATTATATATATATATATATATATCTCTCTCTCTCTCTCTCTCTCTCTATATATATATATATCTACAGAGTTTTTAAAATGGGAAGCTCGTTTTACCAGAATCA